ACGCTGGTGGATTCCCCGTGTGGGTTACTACAGGAGAGTATGGAGGTCTGCGCGACGATGATCCTCGGTTCACGGCAGCCTGGAAGGACTACTGGACCGAGATTTCCAAGATCATCAAGCCTCATCTTATCACAAACGGTGGAAACGTCGCCATGTTCCAGGTACCATATCCTCAATCATCATGAAAGTTGTGAGACTAACCGGACAGATCGAAAACGAATTGGGCTGGCAGTGGGACAACCAAGACAAGAGAATCGTCCATAAGCCTGTCGCAAACTACATGCAACTGCTGCAAGACAGTGCCAGAGATGCTGGAATCGACGTGCCACTATTCCACAACGCCCCAAACACCGTAAGTGTCATCATTTGTGACCATAGCTGAACGGAGGGTTAACCATGTGCAGCGAACATTCGCGTGGTCCAACGACTTTGAGCCCAATGCACTGGGTAACGTCGACGTTGTAGGCGTCGACAGCTATCCCTCTTGCTGGAGCTGCAACTTGAGCGAGTGCACTGGCACCAATGGCCAATACATTCCTTATGTGAGTCTGACTAGAGTCATTCGTTCTCTGGGCGAACACTGATACTGTGTAGAAAACTCAAGACTACGTCTCGTACTTCAATGTCCAATCTCCGTAGGTTTCTCCCATATTTGAGTCTTGGGTTTCCCATTAACAATTCCAAGATCGCAGCCCAACTTCCTCCCTGAGTTCCAAGGCGGTTCTTACAACCCATGGGGTGGACCTGAAGGAGGTTGCCCCAGCGATATTGGTCCTGACTTTGCCAACCTCTTCTACCGTGATCTTGTGGCTCAACAAGCTACGGCGATCTCTCTTTACATGATGTACGGCGGCACCAACTGGGGTTGGTTTGCTTGTCCCGTGGTTGGTAAGTGTTGGCCATCCCTTGAGATGGCCCTCGACTGACCCTATTAGCTTCGAGCTACGACTATTCTTCGCCCATCTCGGAGAATCGCTTCATCTGGGACAAGTTCTACGAGACCAAGCTTCTCACTCTGTTCACTCGAGCCGCACACGACTTGACCAAGACTGAGCGAGTTGAAAACGTGAGTGAAGTTATTTTCCACATCACCAAGACGCATATTGACCCAATCAGAGCACATCGGCTTCTACCAACAAGGAGATTCTCGTCTCTGAGTTGAGAAATGTCGACAACGATGCCGCGTTCTACGTGACCCGACACAGTTACTCTCCATCCGGTACCAAGGAACAGTTCAAGGTCAAGGTCAAGACCTCCGAGGGAGAATGTGAGAGCTTATTATTCTTTGAAAATTACCCGTTCAAATTCTAACAGTGACAGTCTTGATTCCTCAGTACGCTGACCAGATCACCATTAACGGCCATCAGTCCAAGATCCTTGTCACCGATTTCAACTTTGGAAGCAAGAAGCTACTTTACTCGACTGCCGAGGTTTTGACATACTCGGCATTTGATAAGAAGGAAGTCCTCGTTCTTTGGCTGCCCGAGGGTGAGACCGGCGAGTTTACTCTGCAGGAGCATACCAAGGTCAAGTCCACCAGCAAGGCTCTGAAGGGTCTCCAGGTCAAGGCTGGCAAGGAGAATGTCACTGTGACATACACTCAAGAAAAGGGACTTTTCACTCTCGGCCTGGAAGATGGATCTACTATTGTCCTCGTTGACCGCGAAACGGCATACCATTTCTGGGCTCCTGCTCTGGACAACCACCCGCTTGTGGACGCGAACAACACCGGTATGTTTATCCGCAACTTTGGAAGGACGAATTCTAATGGTGCCGTGTCTTTAGTTTTGGTTCAAGGCCCTTACCTTGTCCGCTCGGCCTCTTACGACGAGAAGAAGCGCAAGCTCAGCATTTACGGAGACCTCGACCAGGAAACTCAGGTGACCGTCTTTGCACCTGAATCCCTGAAGACAATCGCCTGGAACGACAAGAGGGTCAAGATTACATCCCAAAAGGGAAACCTCTTCACTATCAAGCTTGACAAGCCTTCTAAGTTCAAGCTCCCAAGCCTGGACCGATGGAAGTACACGGATAGTTTGCCCGAGATTAAGGCTGACTACAAGCCCTCTTCTAAGGCCTGGACTGGTAAGTTCTTTCTTTTTCAACCGCCTAATCTCCCCACCTGACGTAATATATAGTCGCGGACCGAACCAACACTAGCAACAATGTGGTCCCTGATCTCAACAACCCCGTCCTGTACGTTGATGAGTACGATATTCACTACGGCAACCACATCTACCGAGCCACCTTCCCTACAACTGACTCACTGCCCACTGGTGTTTACCTGAACCTGACTGGCGGTCTCGCTTTTGGTTACTCAGTTTGGCTGAACGAGGACTACATTGGCTCTTGGCTCGGACGATCTTGGCTCGGCGCCCAGGGACAAGAATTCTCTTTCAAGAATGCCACACTCGCCAAGAAGGAGAACGTCTTGGTCGTTTTGATGGACAACTCAGGACACGACCTTCGTGAAGCTGCACTGGCGCCTCGAGGTATCACCAACGCAACACTGCTTGGCCCAAGCAAGGAGCGCTACGAATTTTCCGAGTGGAAGATTGCAGGCACTGCGGGAAGTGGTGAACCTTCTCTTGACCTCATCCGAGGTCCCCTCAACGAAGGTGGATTGTACGCCGAGCGTGTTGGCATGCATCTTCCTGGCTACCCAGACAACAAGTGGTCGTCTTACTCCAAGAAGAAGACTCTGGAGAATCCTTCGTCAGGAGTCCGCGTGTACCGAACAACTGCAGACTTGGATGTCCCCAAGGGTCTTGATGTCTCCATCTCCTTCAAACTGACTGCCTCCTCCGACTCGACATTCTCGCCTACCAAGTCTGGATACAGCAACCAAGTGAGAGCCCTGCTGTTTGTCAACGGATACCAGTACGGCAGATTCAACCCCTACATCGGCCATCAGACCTCTTTCCCTGTTCCTCCTGGTGTGCTCAACTACAACGGAGAGAATACCATTGCAGTCACGGTTTGGAGTCAAAGTGCTCAAGGAGGAGAGATCAAGGTTGAGTGGGAGCTTGACTACGTTCACTCTTCTAGCTTTGACGTGAGGTTCGATAGCGAGTATCTCCGCCCGGGTTGGACAAAGGATAGACTGGAGTATGCGTGATTAAGTGGTATTCGCAGATAGATAGTTGAGAACTACTAGGTGCTTATGTCTTATGTGCAAATATTGGCTGCGACCAAGGACTAGTCTAAAATCTATTCCCCGTGTAGGTCCGCGGGCTTGACCATAACCCAGTTCTTGTCTGCTGTGACTGGAAGTCCCTCCTTCTTCTGAGCCTTGGCAAAGTCGGAAATCATGCCGCGGATTTGCTTGCTGTAGCTCTCCTTGCGATCAACCCACAAGTGAATGCCTCCCTTCTTGACATCAACTCCGTGGAAGATCATTGGTCCGTCACTGTCGGGAGTATCGCCGGCAGCCAAGATAGGCTTCTTCCACTCGTCAATGTAGGTGAGAATGGCTGCCCATTTGCCAGCCTTCCAGGTAGCTGGGGCCCATAGGAACGGGGTCATCTTGGCGTCCAGGTTCTGCTGCTGAATCTCCTTCTCGTACTCTCCATCCTCGATTTGCTTGCGAGCGGTGGTGAGATCGCCATTCTTTTCCTGCATAAGAAGGGTCACGCCGATGACCTTCTCAGCTGGGACGTTGTAGCCGTACTTGGGGTCTGAAGCCACCATACGGACGAGCTCCTCAGAGGCAGCGCTCACAACGTACACGTCGATACCGTTGGCCATAAGCTTGTTGTAGAGCTCAACCTGGCCCTCGAAGATCTTGGGAGGAGACACGTCAATGGCCGTCACCTTGTCATCTTCAAAGTAGGTTGTTGGGATTGTCTCATTGAGGGCCATGAGCTCATCGACGTAGCCCTTGAGCTCACGCAGGGGGAAGCCGCTAAAGATTTGTGCAGCCCAAGGGTAGCAAACGGCATCCTCAATCTCGCACAGGCGGTTGTAGTAGCTGTACAAGGTCTCGTTGTGCGTATCCGTATCCTTGAAGGGGACGAGCTTGAGGGTAGGGTCCATGGTCTCTCGGGTCAGGATGCCCTTGTTCTCCAGATAGGGCAGCAGGGACTCTTCGAGGTCGAACTCGTAGCTGGTGTTGTCCATGTCAAAGACAGCATAGGCACCAGTGTTGGCATTGGCGGCAATCATTTTCTCAAGGGCCTTAGCGGCCTTGGGAGGCCAGTGCTTGAGTTGGGGACCACGGGTGCCATAGGTAGGAATGGCGACGGAGAGAGTGCCAATGTTTGCCAGGCAAAATGCCTGAGCAAAGGTGATTGCGCTGGGCCTCATTGTGCAAAGTTTGATAGGAACGAGAGCGACTGGGGAAGAAGCTGAGGAGTGAGGGAAGAGCAAAAGCCACCCAAGATAACGGCTTCAAGGGCTCCCTGGAGAGCTTATACCTTCTGAGACCGTGCGGGCCGAAGTTTCTCCCCTTCATAAACAAGAGACATTTACGGGATGGAGTTCGGTGTTACCGACCTAGGTGGACGATCTTGGACACTTTGGTGTGGCTACCCCACCCGAGCGATAAACAGGTTTTTGTCTTTTCGACGCGTCCGGATGATAATAACATAGTGTTTTGGAGTGTTGTCGTGTAAAGGCTCGATTATTGAAAGTTCAAGCTACTCAATCATACCAATTCCTCCATATACATCCCTCATTCTGGCCTCAATGACGACTTCTTCCCACGCGACCTGCCAGAGCAACCACCTCATCTCCCGAGTTGAAGACCAGGGTTGCACACGGGTGTGTTGTGAAACAGGAAAGGATCGACAAGTTCGCAGCCAAATTCCAAGAGAGTTCATTGGCCCCTGCCCGCCAAGGGTCGTATTGTCAGCCGGAGATGAGTCGAATCCTACCTAGCTGGACATGGGGGGACAAGAGGTCAAACGGCGGAGGAACAGAAGTAAATGGAATAGTCAAGTATTCTTTGATAAGACCCTAGCCTTGGTCTTTTTAAAACCATGGACTTTGGGCCCCAGCTTCAACACTTCCATGAGCTCTTCAAACTCGGCCTTTGGCACTTTTCCTCCACTAGCCACCTTATGTCCGCGAGCAAAGGACTCTCCCAATCGATCTCGGAGTGTCGGATCGGCCGCACGGTCAGCGGTTTCACGAAGAAACTTAATGGTGTCGACTGGCGGGAACATGCCCTTGGCGCATTTGGCAACGCGACAGGAAAAGCTGACCATGCCGGGTGAGTATCCTTCGTTGGCGACCAAGACGACTTCCACCAGGTCGGTATATAGATAACTAGCCCACCGCGAGGCTATGAGGGGATGAACCTGCGCTTCCGAGCTGAGGTAAATGACGACTACTCTCCCGTCAGCAGAGAATCTAGGCGCAGCACTTTTGTTGCATCGCATAAATTCTTCATGTATTTCGCGCCTGGCTGCGACTAGATTTTTGTCCTTAGTGAGCTCTTTCGGGGAGGAGGCAGCCCTCAGGGCCTTCCATGCAATCGTGACATCGCAAGCTGCGGTCCGGCGGGGAGCATGGATGAGCGAGATTGCTTGATAGATTATGCCCGTTTTATGCATCTCGATCGTCGGCTTCATGTTTGGAAAGGGCGGCTCCCACTTGACCATGTTGCCCAACTCTCCAAGTGTGCCCAAGACACAGAGCCAATCGCATATCTCTTTTACTTCTTCGTGCAGGTCAAGGCAGATGAGATACGTCAGCAGTGAGCTAGTCGCGACGGGAGGACTGTTGTCGGCCGTAACAAGAAGGGCATCCTGAGGATGTTCATTCTCCTCCGCGTAGTGGTGGTCGATGACTATTGCTCTATGGGGGGCATCGATAAGAGGAGGAGATTGCTGTGAGCCATGGTCCAGGACGAAGATGAAAGCAGGCTTGTAATCGGCCATGGCCTTTCGAGACACGTCATCGTCAAGACGACCGCCTTTTCGGATAGTGTGGACTGATATTAGATCCTTGTCAAGGCCAAGGAGTACCAAAGTCCGCTCCAAAATAGCTCCGGAGGTGAGCCCGTCGACGTCTCTATCAGGAACGATAAGGGTCCGTTGCTTGGCTGAAACACTGTGGAAGATTACAATAAGTACATGTGCCCCAAATAATTCTCGGGTATCAACATTATTAAAGTTTTGAAGAATGAAGAACGCACCACTCTTGAATGAATTTCCTTGCTGCCTTAATCTTATTCTTTGGTGCTGGCCAGATAATTTCTCCATTCGTATCACGTAGTGAGCGCTTGAAATGGTTCTTTGGATTTGCACCAGGACTCCAAGCACGACGCCACTTAGGCTTATAGCTTATTGGTGTCCAGCTTGCGGTGCGTTTCGTCGACTGGATTCGACAGTAGAATGGGACCAAGAAGGAGGTAGAATTGCTGTGGAGGAGTGGCAATGTTCTGGGGACTGTCAGGGTCCGTCTCAAGCGGAAAGACATCTTGTTGTGGGCAGTCTTTTCCAGTCTTGAGCAGACTTCAAATCTTCCGATATGAGAGAAGTTCCATTCAAAGTGATGTCGCCATAGAAAGGTTGAACGTAGCGAGGATCAACCAACTATTGGCCGGAAAGGAGGCCTAGGGGCGAAAAGCGATGTATTGTGGTGATGATAAAACTTGCACGCAGAAGTTGCTTGGCTCACAAAGGTGGGTCGAGGTCACGTGTCTCTCCTGGTCACGTGCATCCTTTCACGCATCACCAGCCCAAGAACCCACATTTGGTTCAAACTCTATGGTTGAAGAGAACAACGTTCGCAGCTGTATGTAGCCCGACTATAGTCTCAACAATCACGTCTTTCCACCGCTTCCAATGCTCAAATGCGAGCTCCCCTTGATGCCCCATCCGCGTAAAGTCGATCCTTACTCAAAAGGTTTGATATGACCCCACTTCGTCTCTTGGGAACAGTGCGAATCGGAGCTAGCGACCAGCCGATACATGGCGACGTAAGGTTGTCTAACCAGCAGCACCAACTGGGCACTTCAAACTTTTGTTCAAGACCCCTATTGCATTTGACTTCCTGTTCATTTCTCGCGATTCAAGCCTGAGTCGATCCACAGGATTAACCCAAGCCATATCAGGGGTTAGGAGGAGGCGTGGGCCTTTTGTGGCGTCATGGCGGCTCTAACCAGACACGATGGCATTCCGTTGCTTCACTTTGAGTCGTTCCTGACGAGCCGGGAATGGTGGCGGCAATTCCATTAGACTGAAAGCAGTCGAATATTGTGGCGAAAGGCTCTTGGGTCCGGAATTGTCTAGCCAAATGGGCAAAGGTTGTCGAGTCTGGGTTCCTCTAGCGTGTGTGAGTGAATCCATCTTGCACCTATATATCTCCCCTATCCCCGCTGCGGATTGTTGGAGCGGCTTCTTGCGTTCATTTTTGTCTGGTCGTTGCACGTCGAGCTCTTCAAAGGCCATTATACAGCATGAAATATCCCATCGTCCTCGCTCTCCTGGCCGCGGCTGGAGCGTATGCCCAAACATCAGGGTGCGACCAGACAAAGGTTGCACGATGTCTTGAGGCAGCGGCCAAGGTATGCCTTCCCTCGGACAGCTGAGTAGGGACTTTCTAACAAGTCATGCCTACAGCCTGCTGGATGCCAGGATAACGACCGTTGTCTGTGTGGAGTGTACAAGGAAATCTCGGCGCAAGTCCACCTTGGTCTCTCTCCGTCTACTGTTCATATCTAACATGTTACAGCTGCTATATCCCTTGCCCTAATGGAGACCACGCGGTCGACGCCGAGAAACAAGTTGATGCATACTGCGAGGTCAAGAGGAAGCGATCATTCAAGGAGTGGTTTTCACGGGAGTAGGGGACGAGTCTTTTTCTTTCTTAAACATTATCAACCTTATGCCGTCTTCTTTGTAGAATTTGTTCTGTAAATTTTGCTCTCAGAGATCTAGAGAGTCGGCAGAGAGAAGAGGGGTGGCATCCAGACAATGCATCATGGTGAGGGGTGACTCACCTGTGCACGATGCGTCGTGAGTGATAAGAGGTCTCATTTTTGTAAAATAGATCAAGTATTCTTAGTTACAACAACCATCGACACACATAATCTACCTAGGTACTTCATATATCTATTTATCATTAACCTTTTCTATCATCCCATTGGACTACCCTAGACAGCCGAGCAAGTCGGCTCGGAGCATCGGCGGCTGGTCGGAGTTAAAACTGTGCTTCACGGTGCCATGACACGACTATCCACTTCCTAACAGGGCCAAAAATAGCATGGTTTTGCTCATTCGTAATATGTCCGTCTCGGAGCCGATATCAAGAGGCAATGTAAAAAGCAGAAACCCCGTTGCTCGCCAGTCTGAAAAATTTGGACTTCTATGACTCTTCTTTAAGACTCTTGACTTGAGCAATCAATCATGGCGACAGACGACGAACCGAAACAGTGGTACAATGCCGCACACAGGGTTCTTGAAGAACTTGGCCTTGTCTCCCTTTACAACTCTACTACAGACGTCAAGATCCTTTGTACTCAAAGGTTCATCCGACTTTTCGCCTATGGCTCATCGACACTTGTGCTGGTTGCATATCTGAGGGAGCTGGGAATTTCTCAAACACAGATTGGTCTTTTCATGACTTTGACCCTGGCGGGTGACATTGTCATTAGCTTCCTGCTTGCCCTCTTCGCTGATGGCGTTGGTCGAAGAGCTGTCCTTGCGCTAGGAGCCATTCTCATGGTTGGTAGTGGGCTTGTCTTTGCTACCTTTGGTAACTACTGGATCCTGTTGGCTGCCGCCATCTTTGGTGTCATCAGCCCTGGGTAAGACCCTCTCATCTGTGTGTAATGACTTATACTGACGGGCCTTGTGTAGTGGCAACGAAATTGGACCCTTCCGAGGCCTTGAGGAAAGCATCATTGCTCACGTAACGGACCCTGAAAGGCGAAGCGATGTCTATGCTTGGTACAGCCTCTTTGGCACCGCGGGAGCTGCGTTTGGCATCTTGACTTGTGGTTGGGTAACTCATTACATGCGCCTTAGCCTCCACATGGACGTTGTAGACGTCTACCGCAGAGTATTTTACGGATACGCCGTTCTCGGTCTGCTGAAGCTGGTCGCAGCTATTGTCCTGAGTTCCGACGTGGAAATCCACCACGAGCCACAGCCTGTGCCAGCTGCCCATAATGATGAACAAACACCTCTCATTCCTGGTAACAACCCCCAGCAAAGCCAGCCTGCTGCAAAGAAACAACTTCGAGCAAGAATCTCTCACGAGAGCGTTCCTATTGTCGTCTGCCTTTGCGCTTTGTTTGCACTTGATAGCTTTGCTTCAGGCCTCGCTCCTCTGTAAGTACCAATCTTGACCATCCCACTTATCACTGTCAAAAACTCATGGTTGGAACAGCTCATGGATTACCTACTACTTCAAGTCGCACTACCAAATTGAGGAAGGAAAGTTGGGATCCATTTTCTTCGTCACGAGTATCATCGCCGCCACATCCATGATTGTGGCATCATCTCTCGCGAAGCGCTTTGGAAATGTCCGGGTAAGTTCTGTATGCTATTCCATGCATTTTCCGTTTCCTGACCTCGAGATATTCTAGACAATGGTCTTCACTCATCTCCCATCTGCCATCTTCTTGGCTCTCATCCCAATCCCAGATGAAGTCCACCTGTCTGTCTTGTTCTTAACTCTTCGAGCCTGCACACAGTCCATGGACGTTGCGCCACGATCCGCATTCCTCGCCGCCATCGTTCTGCCTCAGGAACGAACCGTGGTCACCGGGCTTATCAATGTGGCCAAGACTGGTGCCCAGAGCCTGGGACCTCTCATCACTGGACTGCTTGCGGACTCAGACTACTTTTGGGTGTCGTTCATCATGGCTGGTACGCTCAAGGCCAGCTACGATCTTGGCTTCCTCGCCCTGTTCAAGAACCACGAGAGAGTGGAGGCGAGAAGAAACCGCCAGGACCATGAAACTGCCGAGGAGTAACTAGTTGATGAGAGGTGAACTGTGGTGGAAACACCTCGCATCCTTTTTGAGCTACAAAGAATGACAATCTGGCTCGAAAGGTGTTTGAAAGCATGAAGGAGAAGGGGTAAGAAAGGTTGAAAAGACTGAACACAGAACCTTGCAGAGGGGAAATCTAGATTGGTACAATAATGTGGGAGATTGAACATCACTCTTCTGTTTCTCAAGAAAATGGCATGTAACTATAGACTTGCGGGAGATTAGTTATCATCGGCGTTTTTATTTCTTCTAGGTAGCCAAGTACGGCGAATTATTCTATCTCTAGTTATATACTTAAGGCTTCATCATTGCCGCAAGCTCCTCGTCGTCCAACTTCTTAGCGACACCCGGTCCCTTGTATTGCCGGTTGATAGGTTGAATCAGTATTCTTCGGTAGCTGGTCAAGGGAGGTGTGCCAGCATCTGTAACCTCTAAGATAAGGTGCAGAACCAATCCCTTTTCTAGTGAGAGTTGCTCCCTAACAACGATGCATGACTTTTCTGGGGGCGCAATGGTGACCTTAATCTTGCTGCCATCGCTGCCTTCAGCCTCCTTGATATCAAGCTCTGACACCTCGTAGCCATGGTACGTCTGGGTGGCACTAGGTTCTCGGTACTGGAACCACTTATAGGACAGCTTGTCACCGTCGGGATCGTATGTCTTGGATGCGTCGATAGTGATGGTTGATCCAGCATCGGCCTCGATGTAATAAGGCTTGTATCCAAACTCTCCGTTAACAGCAACAACAGGCTGGTGGTTGGCCTTTGTGAAATCTGGACTCAATGTCCACTGTATCCTCGCAGCAAAGTCGTTCTGGTATGTGTTTCTCCAACGCCAGATAGTGGCCTTGTTTGTCCTAAACTGTGTACCGTTCAAGCCGACGACGCCGTCTGCGGCATCACAGAAGTGGCCTCTGTTGGGAATGCCCTTGTCGCTCACATTCGCAGGGAGATATCGGCCTCCCCACGAACCCCATGAAGGTTCTTCTGGGAAGTTGAGCCCATTCTGCATGATATAGAGGAACGTGGGGGTATCTCCCTCGATGATGAAGGCCGGCTTTGGATAGACAGCTCCAAGGGGGCCAAGCTGCACGTTCTCCTTTACCCATTCGGCAGTGACCTTGCTGGGATCAGGGCCACCTTCGTCGACAGATCCTGAGATGCCGATCCATGTAGCATTTCCGTACTGGTTCCAGCCGTGGACGGAGCAGATATAGAAGATCTCGGGCCACTGCTGTCGAATCCAGCTACCGCAGTCGTCTTGATCAGATATGGTGTAAACGCGAAGCTTTGAGCGCAGTTCGGCGGCATCAGGTCGGTTACGGATTCGATGCAAGACCTGAGCTAGCACATTGACGCCGCCCCAGACGAGGACCCAGAGAGGATCTTGATCGGAAGAGGTCAACCGCTCAAGGAGCAGCTCACCACCCTCGCTGAGGGGTATATCGTCACCAACGGCGGCCATGCCGTACACCTAGAACCTGTTAATTTCCTCAGGTTCACATATGAAGACATGGCAAACATACCGGTGGGCCAGACTTGATGAGGCCTCGAACCTCCTGGGCCGAGGGATAAGGAAAGTCGGGGTGTGCGTGGGCATTGAGGTTGTCGACAACCTGCTCATAACCATCGACAATCTCCTGCAACTTGTGCGGCGCAACTGTATCTCGAAGCCATACTGAAGTGACGGCAACAACACCCTCAGTCTTGAACTGATTCGAGTATGTCAGGTACCGACAGAAGGATTCAGCATCGTCTGGCTCATTTGTGATGTCGGTGAGGATAAAGACGCGGTGCTTGGAGGGGAAGGGAAGAAGAGAAGATCTGCCCGTGGTAGCCATTTTCGTCGCACTTGTTCAACAGCTGTAAATGATGAATAAGGACCCTGAGATGTAGGTTTGCAACTCACCTTCTGATGTGACAATGCGGAGGCTCAAAGACTAAATAGTGCAAACCATGATGTTTTGGGCATGTCTAAGCACAAAGTGGTGTTGTTTAGAGTGCGGCTGCTAGTTCTAGATAGGCAATTCAAGGCACAACTCCGGGCCTGTCGGCTTTAGAAGGGAGAATTGCGTCAACTTCTCCACACTGCTGGCTCCGGGGTGCAGCTCGCGCGTGGGCTGCCACACCGTAAACCCGCTTCGGGCAAGCACAAGAGCTGCTGTGGATAGCTGTCAATCATGTGTTTAGTTCGGATGACTCGATGATAGGTCAAGCGAATGGAAGGGCATCCGAAAAAGCATGGGGTCGGTTTCCGGAAGACTGATGGGATTCCAAGGCTTCTCGCCAAGAACTAGCTTGGTGCTGAAGGCGGGGAAACTGGGGTTGAGAAAATGGCCGCGAGCTGAGTTGGATTGAATGCCAGGGACGAGTAGAGCTGCCTCACAAAGTTTCATCGGCCGGCTCGAAGTATAACTCGTAAAGCAGCTTCCAGGAGTATCACGACCGTCTGTGCCAATTTGCACCCCAGCCCACCCAGTCAACAGAACAAAGCCAGGACTGCTATGCTTCTAGGATTACCCCTAGGTACATAAAGACCAGAGAAGCTGCCTCCTCGTGCCACTCTGTTCCCTAAAACATTCCCAAGTGCGCCAGCAAGATAGAGTCTTGTAGACGTGTTGAGAGAGGCTGCCTCACCAGCCCAACCATCCGTTGGTGTGTCTGCTCATGAGCCAATTCGGCACCCCTGTTCTATTTACTAAGAACTTCTTGATGCCTTGGACTGTCTCAGAGATAAGATGAGGATGAACCCAATGGTGACCAAACCAAGAGATACCCCTGTGGAGCGACATTAGCACCGAATTCAGATCAGACCGTGATGCATTCACTTACAATGAGTCGACTCAAGGGCATGAATGTAAGAGGTAGTGATCGCTTTGGCAATCTGCGCTGGGGCATCCCGGATGTAGCCCACATCGTCGAGAGCATCGGCGATGATCTAGATACACATCAGTCCCAATCATTCCAGCAGTGCAAAGAAGAGGACGGCGACATGATACCTTGTCTCTTTGGACGGTATCCAGACCAATATCAGCGAGGCGTCTTCCCAAGTTTCGGCGAACGGCGATTTGGAGCACTGCATTAATCATTGCCAGGCCCTGCGTGGAGGCCAGGGCAACAGAGAGGTAGAGGCATGAGATTGCTGCCGTTAGTTTGGTCTTTTCCACAGCGGACTGGAGAGAAATGAAAACGGCACTCTGGACAAATCCTGTCCCAAATCCGCTAGATGTCATGTCAGGGAATGAATGCTATGAGGAAACGCTCCGATGAGAGCCAGAAGCCACGATACCTGAGGAGAATATACAGAGACCCTAGCCAACCGGTGTTTCCGCGCCATCGCAAAATGATTAGCAAGTAGCCGAAAATTGAAAGAAGCGTTCCAGTGATGAGTAGAGCTCGATGATTTCCGGTTCTGTCTACGGGTTAACTAAAATGCACTGGTATGCTGCGTGACTTGACTGCTTACCGTTTGATAAAAATGCCCGCCATGATGCCTGCAACTGTGTTCCCAAAGGCAGCTGGGAACAGACGAGCCCCAGCTTCGGCGTTAGAGGCACCCGCGGTTACTTTGAAGTAGAGCGGAACTGAGAACATGAGCTGCAATTTGAACGACTGTCAGTGGTGGGAGCCCATGAGAGGTTTGATGGCTGCCTCTCAAGATTCTGGGAGAACGTTACCCCAATCTGTGCACTAATCTGCAGAAACATTATACCAAAGCAACCAAGGACGTGCTTGTCTCTGAAGATGCTGAGATCAATGATAGGCTCTCGGACCAAACGAGTCTCAATGTAGATGAATCCTGCGAGGAGGACGTGATGGCCCGCAAAGAGACAGAGAATAAGGGGATGACTCCATGGAACATTGACACCACCTATTTCGAGTGGTAGTAATAACGAGGCGATGGTAACGGCAAGAGTAAAAGCGCCCGCCCAGTCAATGCGTGCAATCCTTGTTGATAGTGCTAAGGATGTTTGACGTGGCTCAGCTTGAGATAGCTGACCTGGAAAACTGATCCAGACACAGAGCGCAGCAAGCAGAACCAGGGGGCCTTGGCCGATGAAAGACCAACGCCAACTGACAGCGTCAGCCAGCCAGCCTCCCAACGGCGCGCCGACACTCCGGCCAAGCGTGCCAGCGACATTGACGTAGCTACGCCAGACGGCAACCTCTCGCAGTGGCACTAGATCTGTGATGACGAGTGAAGTCAAGACGCCTAGGCCTGCTCCTGCGCTTCCAGATAGCAACCTTGCGAGAATCACATGCCACATCGACTGCCCAACGCCGCTGGTTGCCGAAATATGACAAGTAAGTGTCTGCTTCCAGGAGAATCTGAACGGGCGAGATTACGTACACAGCAACACTTGATGTGTAGAGTCAGTGTCGTGCGATTATTGTCTCCGAGGAAAGGGACACTTACCATCCAAGAGCAAATGCCACATGGGCCGTCAGCACAACCTGTTTGCGCCCGAAGACTTCGCCGAGTTTACTGATCTAAGAGGCATGCCAGAGTTATCAGTATGCGAGTCTGATAACGTTATAAATGGAGTCAACCTCACCGTTATCTGGGTTGTAGCGCCCCCCAAGGAAAAAGCGGTCAAAAGCCAGCTTGACATTCCAAGAGCATCAAACTCGGATGCAATCGTTGGGTGCGTTGCCATGACGAGCGAGTTGTCAGAACTGCCAAGAAAGGTGCCTTTGATGATCAGCATACCAAACGCCCCATGCTCATTGCATCTGCCAAGGGGAAATATCGTCGTGTCTTACTGATCATCAAAACCAAGATGACTCTTTTCGCGACCGATGACTTGTTCCGAATGGTTGTTTCGGCATCCGCGGACGCTTCTTCGTCTGCGGCGTGGGCGCTGGCGTTGGCTGTAGTGTTGACCTCCTGTTGTAATGCCCCATCTTGGTGCCTCTGGGAGGATGACGAGGCAGCAGCAGCGGTCGGCTTGACACCAATCGCGTCCTCGACAGGCGCCCTGCCTAGAAGGGGGCTTCTTTCATCGTGATGCTGAGAGCTGGCCGTTGTCATGGCAAGGGATGAGCGTTGATGAGCCTAACAGAATTGGATTGATGTTCAAAAGTGTAGGCTGAGTTGCAGAGTATATTGAACGAGAAAGTTCGATGGCAAGATTAAGCATGTTTTCCTTTTTTCTGAAAGAATGTCATGGGAGCAGCTACCCCTGAATCGGTGCAGTGCTTCAAGCTAGGTACTGTAATTCAATCATCTTTTTTGATCTGACCGGAGCTCGGAGCTGGTTTTTGGAGATGGTCTCCGGGCGTCGAGGCAATTCGCCGTGCGTCTCGGACACTAGGGTGATCTCATCGACAGTGGACATGTCGCAATCATTAGTAGCAGACAGGGAGCCCTGCTTGGACCACCAGCCAACCAGTCGGAGCCCACACGGAGCGAAATTCTGAAGAGCTGCCCCGGAAGACGACTGCACGTCGCACCGCTGCCATCATGGTTGTTCACCGTTACTTGCTGGGGTGAGCTGAGCTTTGAGGGTTTACTCGAGAAGTGCTTAGGCCCATAGTCTCGCATGAACTCTGCACCTCGCACCGTCCCGTCCGTGATTGGTTGGTGACAGCAGACTATCTGTGTCTGACGGCTCATGACTGTGCAGGCAGCTTGATCTTCTTAGTTGCCTCATCCAAGGTAGATATTGCGTAGCAGCATAGCCTTGCTCTTTTTGCACGTTCCCGCGTCTGGCCGCAACAGCAGGCCACAGAAACAGCGAAGGCTCATTGCGGTTAAGCAGCAGACCCCAATATGGACCTCTGACATGAGACAATGTACAGTGTGTGGCATGAGTGACATGGTGTATTTGATTCAGATTTGGAATAGTGTCTACCTATGAAAATCGTGCGAGAAGCTACGGTAGATGTAGCGTTGCTGTCCATCCACCAGCTCAACTGGTTCACACCCACTCACTAGCCCTGACTCCATTCCGGTAAACCAGACCGTCGTTCTCGAACTGCGGGCCTTCAGCGTCAATAATGTAGCCCAGCTCGCAGCGATCGAAGCTAACACGCTGCTGCAAAGAGTAGAACGCATCAAAGCGATGCGACAGCGCGTCATGTAAAGTTTGCACATTGCCTTGAGGATGTAGGGCAACCCAGGGCCACACGCACGTCGTTCCTTTGCAAGACTTTAGTACCATGATGAGCGAATCCAGACGCGAGATGAGGCGATGCAGCGGCACGCCGTCAACTTTGCTACCCTCAACAGACACAAGGTTCCGACGCTGATAGGGATCGGTCTGTTTTGCGCACGGGGCAAGATTAGCCTCAACCGGGTTCAAATGCACTACTTGAAAGCTGTCTTACCTTGAGATCGTAGAGCTCATGCTCACCACTGCACCATACCGAGTAGTAAAGGTTGTAGTCCGGGCTGACGATGCGGACCGCCTTATATGTGTTGTTAGGGATCCGCGACCCAATATCAAGCTCCCCTCCTTCGTAATTCGCGAAGCCCCAGTACTCGATCGTCACATGTTCGTGGCGCGTGGCCTGCGCTTCATACAAGTCTTGTCCAGACAGTGGGATCGCAGTGCCATCCAGATCTTCCGGCAGAGCCGCTCCAGCCAGCTTGAGGATAGTAGGAACCAGATCAGTATGAGTTGTGACTACGTCTGTCCGAGTACCAGCAGGAACACCAGGTCCGCGGACAAGTAGTGGGACGTTGATGTCCTCCTCAAAACCGCATTCCTTGCCGGGAGGAAGGCGATGCTGACCAATGTGAAAGCCGTTGTCTGTCGTGTAGAACACATAGGTGTTGTTGAGCAAGCCCAGCCTTTCTAGACGATCGAACAGACCATCAACAAGTTCGTCGACCGACTGCAGTGTCCGCAGGCGCTGCCGATAGAAATGATCGTACAACTCAAGGTCCGAAGGGGAGACTGGGGGACGCTGCTGAACCCACCGAGCACTGTCCGACGGTGTCTTGGGGTTGAAGTTTTCCGTTCGGGGTATTCTAGCGTCTTGAAACAAGTGCTCGTGCCGGTGCGCAGGTACTGGCGGGCGAAAGGTGACAGTGGCGTTGATGCCTCCTAGATGCAGAGCCGAGTTATCACGAACGGTGTCCCAGTTGAAATCTACATCGGTGTGAGGGGCGGGAGGCGCAATGCCCAGGAAGAAGGGCCGATCAGCTTTGGCGGCCTCCTCCAGGAAGCCGTAGGACTTCTCGGCGAGGACGTCAACGCTGTGCTGGCCCTCGTAGCTTTGTGGAGGGTCGTGATTGTGCTGGAAGCTTGAGTTGTAGTAGGCGTACGTGAAGGGGTCTAGTAAAAAGTCTGACTGAGTCCAACCTCTCGGCCATGGCTTGTTGTAATTCTGAACCGTGTGGGCGTTGAAGAGCTTTCCCGTATAGTACGTATCGTAGCCCGCGGCTTGCAGCCAGATAGGCAAGTATGCGTCGTTAAAGCCGTTGGCCACAAACTTGGGGTAGCCACCTGTAGAACAGCACCTGTTAGCTTCTTCAGATCCCCCCAATTCAAACTGAACTAGCAAACGTACCATATGGCGGATAGACGTCAGTCACGTTAGTATTGTGAGCGAGTCTTCCGGTGAGGAGCGAGACACGTGCGGGACAGCAGATTGCAGTGGTGCAAAAGTGCTTCTGGTATCGGGCGCCTTGGTCTGCCATGTGCTTTTGAAGCAGTGGCATGTAGTCTAAGGAGTTCATGTGCAGATCTTGATCATCTGTCAAGATCAAAATCACATTAGGTCGTCGACCAGTTGTCACGTCCGAGTTGCCGTGGAGATGAACTCCCAAGGGACTCTGGTCCTGAATGGCCAGGGCCAGCGAGGACTGTGCAAGTCCGGCTGCTGCAACGAGAGACGTCGGAAAGTGCATTCTCGCCGAGCTAAGGATAGTCCCTGAGTAGGAGGAATTGAGAAGTTCTTGTTGTAATGAGGTGACGGTGATGGTGATGGGTTTAATCCCATGGTGCTGCTGCGCATACCTTTACTTATGGTCTTGATGCTTTGGGTGCGACCCAGGAAGGGGAGGTGAGCCGGCTGCTGCGCTAATGCACCTCGTACCGCTGTGGGGCACCTGAACACTCCCTGCAAAGTATCGAATGGCGTTATCTTGCTCTCTGCTGGTATCATTTTCTAGACATGGGCGAACCTGTTGTCGCACTTACTTGGAGATATATATTGTCGTCTTTGGAAGACCAGCAGAAATGCACCTCAGTCTGAAATCCAGCACCGCTGCTCGATCACCAACAAAGTTTATGTTGATCTTTCACCCCCTTTACACACCTTGCTTCAATCTCGTTGCAAAGTCTCTGTAGCAATGACAGAACAGAATCCACGCCAAAGTTCAGACGAGAAGCATGCTTATGCGTTTCAAGGAGCTATCGGTATAGACGACGAGAATGGTCATTCCCCCAACTCGTTTTGGAGCAAAGAGGAGGAGGCAGCATTGCTTAAAAAGTTAGTTGTCCTGAAATGTCCAAGTCTTTCTGCTGGCCATGGTACTGACATGATAACAGGGTCGACTGGCTCATTCTGCCAATTCTCATCTTTGGCTTCTCTACACTCACACTCAACCGGTCAAATATGTACGGAACAATAGTCATGGTTCGTTTCCCATATCGCACAGTCGAGCTGACGATTGCACAGAGGCTTCTCTCTGAATAACGGGTTCCTACAAGATGTCGGCATCACCCAGAACGACTTCAACGTGGGCCAGCAGCTTCTGTCTGCGGGCATTGTCATCTTTGAAGTATGCGCAAAACACCGCCCCCTTTCTCTTCTTTGACAACCATTGACACATTCATGCTCAGATTCCGAGCAACATGATTCTATACAGAATCGGACCAGCCATTTGGATTGGTTTCCAGATCATTGCATGGTGAGGCCCTCCAAGTCGGCAGCAGAAACCGCCAACTAACAACGTGATCTACACAGGTCGCTTGTTGGAACCTTGCAGGCATTTCAAAGCGGATTGGGCGCCTTTATTGCAACTCGTTTACTCTTGGGGTTAGCCTATCGCCATTTCGTTTTGCTCTTGACCAAACTGACGTGCTCTTTCATCTCCTCAGCATCTGCGAGTCCGGATTTATACCTGCAGGTCTCTATCTGATGACCAACTGGTACAAGACATTTGAGACGGGCAAACGCTTCTCCATTTATTTCGCTGGTTCCATGGCAGCGGCTGCTCTCGGTGGCCTCATCGCATTTGGGGTGTACGTACTCTTTCTGCTCTCAAGACACATTCTTCTGACCCATAATTTCCCCTGCAGTGTCGGTAATCTTGATGGTCGTGGTGGGTTGTCCGGTTGGCGATGGCTCTTCATTGTCTGTAATCCCATTATGACACATTGCCCATGATCTGCAGGTACTAACAGACGATATGACCAGATCGAGGGTCTCATGGCTTTCTGCTCTGGCGTTGTGTTCATTGTTTTTTTCCCCAAGTCACCAACTGACCCAGTCTCGATATTCGGTTGGCGCTACTTCGACGAGCGTGAAAGTCAGATCCTTCGCCAAAGAATCATCATCGACGATCCAACCAAAGGGATCAGGGTTGACAACAATGTCACGTGGGAGGAGCTTCGCCGTGTGGTATGTTCTGTTGACCCCAACCTCAAGCTTGACTCCTCTTAACCTGAGCAAAGAGAACCTTGGCACTGACACCACTCGACTCTACAGCTCACGAATTGGCGACTCCTGCCACATGTCATAACCACGATAGCAGCTATTTCTCCAGCTCAGGGTCTTGGAACATATTCGCCGTCCTTGGTTGCCGGTATGGGATTCAGCAACCTCAGCGCCATTGCTATGATGACTGTCCCTCCATGGATTCTTTTGATCGGCAATCTCACTTGTGGATTTATGTCGTGTGTAAACTTATTCAAGCGCCCACATCTTGGTACTAATATCTTTTACCCCAGGGATAAGCTCAAATCGCGCGGTCCAGTCGTTCTCGTTGCCTTGATTTGTAACCTCGCATTCATGGTACGTCATCCGATCATGGTTCTTTGTGTAGCAGTCCACCGGGATATCGGCGCTCGAATCTGACCTCAAACTCTTCAGATTGCCAATCAGGCCATGATCCACAGCCAAGATAGAATTACGAGGTTCTGTCTTCTTGCTGTGGGCAACTTCTTTACCACCAGTTGGCGTACGTACCACCTGCCCGCTGTTGCCTCCCTCGTGTCTCTTTTTTTATGACTCGAGTGCTAATCAGCGTATGTTTCACTGGCGTAGACCCTGTCCATGGATCATGGCTGTCAATGAACTGTCTTTCCGAGGCCGAGAGGTCCGTGACAATGGCAATTCACATCATGGGTGCCAACGTGGCCGGCATCGTGGGCGCCCAAATTTTCCGGTCAGACGATAGTCCGCCTTTCTACCCGAGAGGTTGGACAGTTATCTTGTCCCTAGTTGCGACTGCTGTCGCCGCCACGCTGGTCTCGAACCTCCAGTACTTGATTCTCAACCGAACCGGACGACGGCCTGAGGGATCTAAATGGAAGCTCTAAACAAATTCTGCGACTTTTCCCTGATAACAGAAGATATATAGAGAAGGTTTAGAGTGGAGGGTAAAGCCAGCTGTTATAAGGAACGGGCAAAGTTTGAGCTGTGAGAGTTGTGGATCATTATAGCTGGGGGTGTAGCTGATGCATCAGACACTGGCCGATTCTCAGTACCTTGTCATCTGTGGCGGTCTTGAGCACGCCATTTGGATTTGTAGCACATCATTGGCCCTCAAGAACTTTTAGGCCAGTTCCTCCTCGACCGTCGAAATTCCTCGTGAAGCCTCCAGCGGAAACCATTTCCTTTCATACACTCCTATTCTTGAATACCTACTGTGGCGGTGTTTGAAATGTCTACCTTGCCAATGCGTCCCGGTCATTCAAAATCTCGTTTGGGTTGCGTAAAATGCAAGAGACGACGTGTCAAGGTCAGTGCTCCCGCGCTCTTAGTTTGCATTGCACCTTCAATCACGTCAAGCGACTGACTTGGCCATGTAAGTGCGACGAAGCAGTTCCTTGTGCTGCATGTACGAGGCATGGGTGGGCATGTAGTCTCCTTGGAACAGTACCACAGCTTCCCGCAAGATTAAATGAGGGAGACGACCATATGCGGACTGCCGAGGTGGCCCATCATGAAGTAATGCTGGGGATCTATTCACATTCCAGGAAACAGGCCTCCGGCGATGATAGTCGACTCATAGAGTTTCCCTGGCAAGACCCATTTCCGCATCTTGCCCCCTTTCTCATGACTTCTGGACCAGTCGAGACGCCTCCGCCACGATCGTGGACCAGCGACATGGAACTGATGCATCACTACGACATGTCGGCTTCATATACTTTGCCAGGATCTGTCGAGTTTCGTCACATTCATCAGGTCGAGTATACCCGACTCGCCTTTCAAGATGAAGCCTTAATGCATCAGCTCCTCGCCGTGGCGGCGTTCCACCTGGCTTTTCTCAACCCAAGCCAGAGACCTGCATATTTGACACGAGGTCTGCAACATCAGACGGAAGCAGCCCGTGGTATCAGCTCTCAGCTGGTGAACCTCACACCCGAAGTCAGCCACGCCTGTTTCGTAGCCGGCGTTCTCCTAGGAATCGGTTCATTTGCTTCACTGGCAGTTTTTCACGATGATCAAAACGGCCCCAAACCCAGCCTAAAGGACCTTGTGGACATTTTCCACGTTATACGCGGCATGTACGCCGTTCTGAAATCGTCAGAGGACGTCATTCATCAAGGTCGCCTGGCACCACTATTCGAGCCACGGCAGTACTCAAGACAACCTACGGTTCGTTTACAGCAACTACTAGACAACCTACACGAACTAGAACGGCACTTTGGCCGATGCCATTTACATGACCCCAGGTCAACGCACATTGTTGAGCGAGCAATTCTTGACCTCATTGCTTGTGTTAAGCATGCTGTTGAGTACGCTCCCACGCCTTATGAATGGCGCGTTGTCACATCATGGCCAGTTGTCCTGTCACCCGAATTTCTGACACTATTGGCGAACATGGATGAGGTTGCGCTTGCTGTGACTGCTCGATACTGTATTTTATTGCATGAAGCGCACTCGGTCGCTTGGTTCACCAGTGGCTGGGGTCGCAGCGTACTGGAGGACATCGAAGCAACGGTGAGAAAACGCATAACTAACGGGGCGCAGCGCTGCGATCTTCTATCCTGGCCTTTGACTAGAGTTTTGGTTTGATGGTAGCCCTGGTCATTCGAGGTAATGCACATGAGCGCGAATCAGGTCGCTTTCATGGTGGATGTTTACTAGGTTCTGGGGATTGGGCTCTACCCAGACTTACTTCATTCCTGACGTTGACGAGAATTGGACCAATGCATCTAGAGACAAAATGACGGGTTTATTCAAGTGCCTATCTGATTCACCTCATCCAGTTTAAGGTAGTGGTTATAAAAGTAATAGCAGCATGTCGTCAAATTATCCACCTAGAGCCTCTCCACCGCGTTACAATCTTCGTGGACTTTAATCGCAGTGGAAATCTCGAAACTCGACCTCGAGTCCCTCTGTATCAGCAACTGCAAAAATCCCAATGACCGGCCCGACAAAGTCTGGATCTGTCATATCCAACGTATCAACAACGGCCAGTCTTATCCAAGACTTTTCTGGTTCAGAGTTGAGAGCGTACAGCAGGTGAAATTCTTGCTCCGTGTACTTCATCAGCAACGAGACATTCTCGGGAACTCTTTCCAAGGTGTGTCGAGTGGACTTGGAAACTTCTTGAGCCTGGTTCTTCTCTTCAAAAACCATAGAGGTATCGGAGGAGTCGAAAAATATGCGAAAATGTCGATGTTCATCCTTGTAGTAAGCCAGGCCGCCTTTGAGATTACCAAATGACCAAGCGTCGGAAAGATTGGCAACCACAACGCCGTTTGTTCCTTGCAGCAACCTCTGCCTCTTTCCAACAAATGAAGGAGAGGCTTCAGGGCCAGAGAGATCTACCGAGGTCGCCGTTAATGTGATACTTGAACTGGGTGCATCGAAGTTGTAATGATCCAAAAGAGCGTCTCGGATGTAGACATAGTCCACGCCTGGTTCCACGGAGAGCGAAGAACTTCCATGTTTGCGAGTCACCACACTGGGGCTCAACTCGACAGTCGCCAAGGTTGGCCATTCACCCTCCCATTCACCAGGTGTCAGGAATGTTTCCCGGCTCAGGGCATATCTCCCCTGTATGTCTTTTCGGACACCCAGACACACGGCCCACCACTGGCCATCATAGTCCTGAAACAGGTCACCGTGGCCAGTGTGTTGGATATACTCATCGGTGTCTCGCGCAGAAAGGACAGGATTGTGAGGGCACGGCTCGTAGGGACCCCAGATGCTCCTTGACCGAGCCATGGTGATCATGTGTGTAACGTGGGTACCATCTTCAGCAATGAGCAGATAGTACCACCCATTTCGCTTGTAAACATGCGGACCTTCGGGGTAAACGCCTCCGGTGCCTCTCCAGATGGTTCGCTCCTCTGACAAGGCCCTGCCAGTTTTGATATCAATTTCGAAGCAATTGATTCGCGTCCAAGGCCCCGGGGTCGCGGATCCCGTCATGTATGTGGTGCCATCCTCGAAAAAGAGGTCTGGGTCAATGCCGACGAAGTCAAAGTAGACGGGGTCGCTCCAGGTGCTCCTCCAAATGTCTGTAGTAGAGATGATGAAGTTTTGCTTATCTACGACTCCATACTCCTTCCGGAAGGCGGCGTTGGTGCACACAATGTAAAATGTTCCATCGTGGTGTCTAATTGTCGGGGCGTACAATCCAGCGGTGGCTGGAAGAATCTTGCCTCCTGTCCACGGACTTGGGGCAGAGAGTCTCGTTGATGACTTGGCGAGACTCAACTGGGCTTGCCGATTGATTGCGTTACCTGGTTGCGACAGTCAGCATGAAGGGCAGCTGAGAGGGGGTAATGCAACTGACCGATGTGCTTCCATGACAAAAGATCATTAGAGGCGTAGATTGGGAGACCCGGAAACAAGTGAAAAGACGATGTGACGAGAAAGTACCAGCCGGAGACACTGATGATGGAAGGATCCGGAGCAAAGCCCGGTATAATGGGATTGATTGCATGTGGCGTCGGCATTATGTCCCAGGCAGTTCAGACATCCGCTGTGGGCGATGCGTGTCAAGGGGGTCATGGGATAGGGTTGGACGACTTATAGTCCCTCGGTACGAAGAACATGATGGTGTCATTCCCCGCAACTGTCAGTGATGGGAACAAGCTGAGTTGGTCGAGACAATAGGGAAAGATTGTTGCCGAAGGATGAAGCTAAGGCTCGCTTGAGGTGCCACAATTAGTTACGCTCTCCAATTCCGCCTTCAACCGCTGGCTTTAGCCATGTTTAGCTGTCGGGAAACTGTCGGGAAATGACTCGTGGGGGGTTACCAGCCAAACCCGCGTACTCGGCTTGTCGGAGAACATGTCGGAAAACCCCTGTAGGAGGGTTTGGCCTCCTCTTCAATTGACAGGGATGCTTTTTCCACGATCCTCACCTGCTTCCCCGCGCGGACTGGCCTCGAAGGGGTAACATCCGTTCGGTCTATCTCTCAACCTTAAGTCAATCGTGGAGGGGCAGCAAGCTCGGATGGTGTGGACTCAGCGGGAGAACAGCATGGAGATGGGTATTGGTGCTGATGTTTCACGGGGAGATGGGCAACCTAAGGTACAAGCGGGTGGCCCCTGTGCCCCGTCAGCCGAGGGGTTCAATGCAGCTACCTCAACATCGTTTGCTCTTCACGATCAAGTTGCAAAGATGTATCGAATTTCTGTGATAGTTGCACCTGTTTCCACTCGTTATAGCAATGATTTGGTCAACTACCGGGGTCTAGTCAAGCAACCAACAGTGGCGGTGATCACACGGTCCCTCTTGGCGAATGCACATCTACTTCGCACTCCATTCTAGCGAGTTTTCTCCTCCAGTTTGTCGGAGAGATGCCCGTCTGGTGATAACTCGATACATCTTTTGACCTCGGGATATTATGGACCGAGACTAACGTCTTCAGATATCCCTTCCAACACCAACAGAATCACTGTGACGGCTTGGCATATTACCCAAATGAACCCGGTGGACTGGTCTGGACGTCCCATCATCCTATCCCATGGGGAAGCACCCGGACCCCACTAGCTGCTGAAGCGCTAGCAGTCTGCAACAACCATACCCCGTGGGTCATACCCCCGGATCGACACCCCAGGCCAGAGTCAGCCCATCCAGAATTGGGTTAGCAAGGCCTGTACTACTCTTTGGAGAGGCTCTACATGTCGACTACAAAAAGAGGCGAAGAGCCTGCATTCTCAGAACCTCTGTTCATCAGCCCAAGCTACCATTCCCATCTCCACCATGGCCAACAACTCGGAGCCCAAGCCCTCGGCCGAAAAGGCCACCCACACCACCGTCGAGCACGACGATCAAATCGAAGCTCCCATCAAGCCTAGTGAGATCGTTGAAGATGCCGTCGCCAAGGGCCAGGTCACCTCGGGCTACGAGACGCTGACCAACTGGCAAACCGTCAAGAAGTTCAAGCTCGTCAGCCTGGTCTGTTTCTTGGCCGCCTTCAGTGCTGCAACTGACGGCTACCAAGTCGCGTAAGTGCTTATACCCGATACCCCTAATATATGTACAGCCGCTAACCTTTCTATAGCATGAGCGCTAGTATCATTGCCAACAAAGGCTTCGTTCGAGAATTCGCGACAAAGGTCGATGCCGAGGGTAAACAGTATCTCGACGCTCCCATCATTAGCGCCTGGGGTGCTTGTATGAGCGTCGGTCAAATCATCGGCCAGACCACTGTGTCTTTCATCAATGCCAGGTTTGGCCGAAAGGTTGGCATGTACTGGCTCTGGTTCTTCCTCCTCACAAGCGTTCTTGCCGAGACTTTGGCCAGGAACTGGGGAGTGTGGCTGGTGGCAAAAATGCTAGCAGGATACGGAGTCGGTTGTCTCCAGGCGACTGTTCTCGGATACATCAGCGAAGTCGCCCCTGTTCGGATCCGAGGTGGCCTTCTGATGTGTTACAGCTTCTGGTGGACACTTGGATCCTTCCTCACTCATGTCGCTCTTCAACGCATGAGCAAGCTTCACCCGTACAACTGGCTAACCCCTATCTACACTCAGTGGGGTCAGATTGGCCTCATGCTCATCATATACCTCATCCTCCCAGAGTCTCCGGCTTGGCTTGCTACCGTCGGTCGCGAGGAACAAGCTAAGAAGGTCCTCACTTGGCTTCATCGAGGCGTCGAGGATTACGATGTGGACCACCAATATCACCTCCTCGCACTAGCCATCGAGTATGAGCGAACTGTTGCTGCAGAGCAGCGCAGGGAGAGTTGGACTTCAATCTTTCGCGGAACTGACGGCCGTCGAACCCTGACTGCCTTGTGGACTATTATGACACAGCAATTTACTGGCCTTGCCCTCTTTGGCACCTTCGGTACCTACTTCTTCCAGCAGGCCGGTTTATCAGATCCCTTCTCCATCAAGGCCATTACGACGTCTCTCCAGATCGTCACTGTCATCGCCGCAGTCTTCCTGGTTGATTGGCTTGGCCGACGTCTGATGGCTTGTATCGCGACAACCATGATGTGGGTGACATGTGTTGTTGTCGGCATCCTTGGAGTTGCCCCTCAAGTCGGAGCGACGACATATATCTTTGTCGTATTCACATGCTTCTGGAGTAAGTCATGACCTTTCGTCTTGGGGCTACTTACCTTGCTAATCTCGTGTGCCAGACATTGGCATTGCTGCCAACGGTGCCGCTGGCTGGGGCTTTGTTGGCGAGATCTCTTCACAGCGCCTTCGTCCTTACACGTCGGGCTTTGCTGCCTCTGCTAACTCTCTCGGAGGACTGATCATGTCTGTTCTTACACCGTACATGGTGAATGCTAATAAGTGGAACTGGGGCTTCAAGACTGGCTTCTTCTACGCCGGCATTGGCCTTCCATTTGTCATTGGGATGTGGCTCTTGATCCCTGAAGTCGCTGGGTAAGTATTTAGAGCACTCTAACAGAGCCCACAGCTAACAAGAATTACTAGTCGATCGGCTGCCGAATTGGACGAGCTTTTTGAACGAAAGGTCAAGCCCTGGCGATTCCACAAGACCGAGACAGCAACCCAGCGCCTGGTCAAGTACGAACAAGATCAGTAATTCGGTGTTCCACCTCGCTACACGGTGACAGCTCCCTTTTTGAGAGTCGAATACTGGACTTTCTGTGCATGTCCCGCTGTTCTCTGTAATGCCTCTCTCAGGGGATCGTGGGTGGGATG